TTTCCAAAACACTCCCCCAAATGTTTCTAGCCTGCGGCTACGAAGAACCCAGGTGTTCGTGTCATGTGCAGGCTCCACTGTGGAAAAGGAAACCAGAAACCACCTCACAGCCCTCCTCATCCTCCAGTAGTAGTTTCACCCAAATGCTGGTACATTCCTCTCTGGTTTCTGATTTCTCAGAAACCTAACCTAACATCCTTTACCTAACCTTTACCTAACATCCTTTACCTAAACCTTTACCTAACATCCACTCTGCTGCTTTGGCACCACGATGCCTTACCCCATGCCTAGTGCTACCACACAGGGCTGATAAAGGCCAGTTCTCCTCCTCCTCCCATGGATCCACTCAATGCAGAGCTGGCTTACCTGGAATCTGAGTTGATTCTATAAAGGCAGACACTGGTTAGTACCCTCTCAAGTTTCAGACCATCTTGCTTAAAAATAGCCTTAAGCTTACCTTTAGTTCATTAGTGCATTCGCAAAATACATTTCTCCAACACCTATTACATTCAGGGTACTGTGCCGCGCCCTGCTGTTATACCTAAATGATTAAGAAATGGTCTCTGACTCCAGAATGCTAAGAGAAGAGATGAGATGCACCTCAGTAGTCAAACCACAAGTGATAAGTTCCGTTAGAGACATGTGGATAGCACGCTCAGCCAGTTCTGAGGAGGGAGAAATTTTATCTGTCTGGGAAAGTCTTCATGGGAGAAAGGCATTCAACCTGGCCTTGAAAATCGAATAAAGTTTGAATATGAGGAACAAAAGAAGATCATCTTAGACAAAAACACACGAATAAAGGCACAGATGTGTGGGCGTGCAGGGCATTGATGAAAACAAAGAAGTTCAGTCTTGCCAAGGCTTGCAATTGGTGAAGAGCCTGGAGGCCCTGCCTTCGGAAGCCTTCTGCGTCCTGAGGAAGGAGGGCAAGGACACAGAGTCGAAGACAAAGGGTGGCAGACTAGGGGCCAGAGACATGCTCAGCTTGGCCAAGATTTTGTTTTAAAAATTTGAGCCAATTTTGAAAACTAGGAGATTTCACATAAAATTCCAGATTTCTGGCTCCCTCTGAAAATCTGAACAATCTAGTGACACAGGGCTCAACATCTACCTGCTTCCTGTAGGATGTGTGTTCTATCTCCCCAGCGCTGAAGCTCGGCCTGTCTCTCCCCTACACCCCACCTGCTTGGCCCCGCAAGCATCCTAGTTAGGACCCTGACCCTGTTCCCGGTACACACCCAGGGAAACCAAACGTGGAAACATCAGTGAGGAACCCCCCGGGCTGTCTTCCAACTGGCCGACTTCCACACATGCTGGTTCTCCGTGTTCCCTTGCCTTCCCTGCTACCCAAACACAGACTCTCTTCTTTAACATTTCAGCACACACGGCTCTCAGAATTATGAGACATGAAAGTATCTATTCTACAGCATCTCCCAAAACAGCTCCTGCTGCCAGTGTCTGAGGCTCAAAGTGGTGGGAATAAAACACCCACTGTCAAAGTGGCGGGTGGAGGGACAAGCCGAGTTTGTTTCCTTGTTTTCATGTAAACAGATTAATGAGAGAGCCAACATAACCCCAGTCTTTGGACTTTTGATCCCACCCTGCCAGGGCCCAGCCTGCAGATGTATTAAATGGACTCTCCCTCCTCTAAATGTTTACAGTCTGCCTGGAGCTCTTGTCAAAGTCTCTGTCTTGGGACCCTTCTGTTTTGCCAAGAATGGTATACTAACATCAGAGGAAGGCCCGATTCCTCATGGGGACAGAAAATCCTCATTTAGAAAGTGCAAATCCTCTGCTGGGGTAACTGGGGCCACAGTTGTAGTAGCACTCCGTCACAGAGCCCCAGGAGACCTCACAATTTTGCCCTTTGTGGCAACACTAATGAATTAAGAGGTCAGTTTGGTAATTCCTAAGGCTAAGCTTTTGTAACTATAAATAAACACATAGAATGTAAGGAATGCAGAAAAGAAAAACAAACAGAGGGGGAAAGGAAATGAAAAACCTGACTTGATTTCATTGAGAAAATTAGTTTAAAAATCCCCTTTGTGTAGCAATTCCTCTAATGCCTAACCGTACAAATGTCCAGGAGATTTCTTCTATACTTGAAGGCCCCTTTGCCAGGCCTTGGAGGTGCACATCTTAGGCTGAGGTACAGCAGTTCTGGGAGGTGGAAAGAGAAGACATAGTAGAAAAGTTTTTGTGTACTTGTGTCAAGCAGGAAGAAAAACCCTTAATAAACCACAAAACCGGAGCCTTTGTAAGGTACAGCTCAGTCAGCACTTTTCCTCCGAGGAGAGAACACACAATTGGCATAAGAGTGACCCAAGCAGTCAACGGGTGGAGGTGGACAATGTCCAAAAGTAGACGACTTCCAGCTCCCTGATCCTGCAGACAGCACAAGGCGGATCGCAGCACACGCTGGACGTGTCTGACCAGATGCGAAACGCGGGTCCCATTTAAATGCCATTTGTGGATCACCGTAAATTAGACGGTTACACTGGGGAGGCTGGAATCGGGGGAGGCTGCATTTTGTTGGCTATTCCCCTCTGTGGTTTTCACCATCTGCTTCTTTGAATGCATAAACAAGGAAAATGACTGGTTTGGAATGCAAAGTTTTTAAAAACCAGATGACCACAGGCATCCTCTAAATGAGAACGAAAGAACGAGTTGGGGTTCGGTGACATTTGTCAGGAAAGGAAACGTTGAATACCGGGAAGCATCAACGCTCCCTGCCAGGGAAGATCCACAACGGCAAGGAAAAGCTGTGGCCACGACCCTGCCTTTCTTTTCTGAGGTCGTGCCATTTCCTTCTGTTTTACCTGGTGCTATTTTCAGACACCACCATTTCTCCCTCTCTGCCCCCTTCTTTTAAAAAAAAAAAAAACAAAAACCGAGATGAACCGTTAAACGCTGGACTTCAGCATAACCAGCCTTGGTTTTCCATTAGCTGTATTACTAAGTTGGCAACCTTGGATAAAATCCACACTTATAAATTTTTAGGCTGAACAAAAGCTGCGTTGTGAGCAAGTTCTTTTATAAAGCCAAAGCAGAGTGCTATAAATAGAGGGGCTGATGAGATAGACTAAGGGAAGGTCTTCATTTCTCTCCCAGACAATAGTGAGCAAATAAAAAAAAAAAAATTACATAAGGGCATTAGGAACACAGTGTGTTTTTCTTTAGCAAAGAGCATCCTGCTTTAAAGAAGGAAGGTTTGCTGCACACAATACAGTGGCCACTCTATGAAATGGTTCTCTATGCTCCATGCCAACGAAACTTAAAGCAATTGGTTCTTCTTTTAAACTCGAGACAGCAGAGAGACTTGATGGAAATGTTGACTGCATACTAATCTCCTTTACCTTCATGACAAGAAATAATCAGTGGTAAGCACTAGGGATTTAAAATCAAATTGAACTCAGGGATTTTAAAGCCCCTGGAGAGAAGAGCATTGGTGCATTTGGCTGAGTTCCACCCATTTCAGCATAAGACAGACGTGGAGCATTTTTCACATAGTTTTGTAGGCAGCCTGACGCCAGAGTTTGCACATCAGAGAAAGGATAAAAGATGATGGTTTCTTAGGGAATAATCACCTCATCCTAATTTGCACTATTTCTTCTCCTTAAAGAGGTCTTGGACAATATTTGAGGTGGGCACTGTTAATGATTTGGGCAGGGGTGCGTTAAGCAATAAAGAAGATCCTGGCAATTTAGAAGCCCTTGGAGAATTAAATAGACTTCAAAATGAGTTAAGTGTAAGTAATTCCTCTACGAGGGTTTTGGACACCAGCAAAGTATGTAGATGTGAAAACAGGAGCCTGCTGAATGAGATTTATTTCATTGGCATTTATTCCAGATGCCAGACTCCTGATGAGTGTATTTGACTTCTGACATCCTTTGGATGGAGGTGCTGTTAGGAATGTTTTCTTCCCTGGTGGAAATGAGAAAATGATTAGAGACCAGAGGTCAGGAGACCTGAACTCTGTTTCTGGTAGTTCCCTGACTTAGTATTGTGTTCGTTTCATAGATTAGATTGAAACCTCCTAGAAGCCTCTAAGGACAGCACTGTTTGAACACTGGCTTTGTAAAGCACTCTTGTGACCCATGGAATTTTAGTTATAATCATAATAATGTCCGATGAAGAGGCACACTGGGGAAGATATGAGAGGAATTTTAAGTGGATGGATTCTATTTGCATTATGCACTTTACAAATAGTTTCAGAGACTTTAAAAAAATATTCAGCATACTACACTTTGGATGTTCCAGGGGGATCATCTAGGACTTTCATAATTTAAAAATGAGTCTCCCTGAAAGTGTATTTTGGGAATTGAGACTTCATCAGATGAACTTTGAGATGACTTTATTACCATGAAGAGGGTGATAGAAATATTTCAGGGGCTGGGCGTGGTGGGTCACACCTGTAATCTTAGCACTCTGGGAGGCCGAGGTGGGTGGATTGCCCTGAGCTCAGAGATTCAAGACCAGCCTAAGCCAGACCCAAAATGAGACCCCATCTCTATCAAAAAAATCCAAGCATTGTGGTGGGGACCTGTAGTTCCAGCTACTTAGGAGGCTGAGGCAAGAGAATTGTTTAAGCCCAAGAGCTGGAGGTTGCTGTGAGCTATGACACCAGAGCGCTCTACTGAGGGCCACAAAGTGAGACTCTAAATAAACAAACAAACAAATAAATAAATGAAAAAAAAATTTAAAAACCTTCAAACTAAGCCAATTGAAAGCAAAATTCAATCAATCAATCAATCAAAGAAATGTTTCAGGGACTTATTTCTCACTGGGATCCAAGAGAGATTTTAATGTTTCTTAACTTGGTGTCTCCTTGTCTCCTTCCTTTTCTCTCTTTCTGCTTTCTTCGGTTTTCTTTTTCTTTTTTGGGGGGGCTATCTTTTTTATGGTAGAGAAAAGAAGGATGAATGCCCAATTAGAAGACGAGAAGATTCACTAAAGACTTGTGCTTGGAATTTTACATCTCTGTGTCTTTTTGCCCACAGGTGATAACCCCAGTGAGGACAGGCCATGGCTATGTATATGAGTACCCATCCAGGTACCAGAAGGACGTCTACGACATCCCTCCTTCTCATACCACTCAGGGGGTATGTACCAGAACCACAGTCACCCGGGGAGAGGAGCTCTTACCACCATAGAGGAAAGGAAGTTCAGAAATTATGTATATTTCACACGAAGCTTTATTTAGGTTGTCCACCAAGTAGCCAAGTTACCCAATGTTATTTAAATTATGTTTTCTGGATTTGCTTTATCAGGAAATGCTAGTCTTTTACCTGATAAAGCTTTTGTTGGCTTATCATTTTATTTCGGAAAGTATAAAATTTAAACTATAATGTAAAGTTACATTGTAGATACTTCACATAAGATCATCTTTTTAATTCCATCTAAATCAAAGAATACAAAACATAATTAAATTCCATCAATACCTTCTGACATGGAACGTTGCCAAAGATCAGGCCTGTACATAACTTGGCAAATAAATCCATCATTAAACGCATAATTTTGTCAAAAGTGACAACTGTTAAGACATTTTCATTCTGGATGACTCAGATGTTTCTCTTCAGGTATATGACATCCCTCCCTCATCTGGGAAAGGCCCTGTGTTTTCAGTCCCAGTGGGAGAGATGAAACCTCAAGGGGTATACGACATCCCTCCTACTAAAGGGGTAAGTAAGCTCTACAGAGCAGAAAAAAAGGCCGTATGTAAGTGTGTGTGTATTAGTTTATGGGGATAAAACAAGGAGGGCAAACCCAAAAGGGGAAAAAGTAATTCTGATGAGAGAACAAATGAAGAAAGGAAGGAAAAAAGGCGAAATGGAGGGAAAGGAGGGAGGGCGGAAGGGCAATAATTAAAGACAACGCTAGGGCGGTGCCTGCGGCTCAAGGGAGTAAGGCGCTGGCCCCATACCCCGGAGGTGACAGGTTCAAACCCAGCCAAAACCGCCAAAAAACTGCAAAAAACTGCCAAAAACTGCAAAAAAAAAAAAGAGATAACTCTAGAAATACCATATTTAGGGGTCTCTATTAAAGAAATGAGGAATCTGGCTGGGCCGATGGTGGTGGGGTATCAGAACTTATTAACATTAGTGTCACTAAAGTTGGTATACTACCCCCCACTGCTAAATTTGACTAACTTAGAAAAGAAAATGGGGAAGCCACACAACTACAACTTGGACTTTAACGCTACAATAGCAAACTATGTAACCTAATCATATGTGCCCTCATTTGAATCTGAAATTTAAACAACAAACAGTTTGTTCAAATGGGGACGGCAATAAGGAGAGGCAACTGGTAGGAAAGCCAATTAGCTCCGTGGAGCAGGTACTAACTCGCCTGGCGTTTACAGGTTTTGCAGTTTACTCAGTCCATCCACGTGGGTTAACTTGTTTGACTCTCTCTGTATACTAGTATACTACTATACTCTCTGGAGTGTACCAGTATATCTATAAGGATAAGGGCGCTGGGTCTTGGAACACAGATGGTGTGGTGATGGGGAGGCCAGGGAGAGACCTCAGGTCTCCTGACACCCAGTTCCCTGTGCTGTTGTGTTACCTGCCTCTCAGCATGGCTCCGCCAGGAGGACACCCAGGAGCTGGTTAGAAACACGGGGCGCAACCCTCCACATAAGTCAGCACCAAGAACTTGGGGGTGGATCTACTTGTTAAAGGGGGAGGGAAGTGAGAATGGAATAGAGCACCTTGGGAAATGCAAATGAAAAGGAGCCAGTGCGTGGGACTGGGAATTCTGCACTGCCAGGTCAAGGAATGTCCCGTTTCTCCACCTTCCCGTGAGCCAACTGAACAGACGGCGTTTTGCTTTCTACTTACTCTGCAGGTGTATGCTGTCCCCCCTTCTGCCTGCCGAGATGAAGCGGGGCCCAGGGGAAAAGACTATGACTTCCCCCCTCCCATCAGGCCAGCAGCAAGGCCGGACCTCAGACCCGAGGGGGTTTATGACATCCCCCCAGCCAGCAGCAAGCCGGCAGGGAAGGACCTTCCCATGAAATACAGCTGCGAGGCCCCCGCGGCTGCGGAGCCGGTGGCGCGAAGGCACCAGAGCCTTTCCCTGAACCACCCACTCCCGCAGCTGGGACAGCCGCTGGGCGCTCAGAACGACGCCTACGATGTCCCCCGGGGAGCTCAGTTTCTTGAGCCGTCATCAGAAGCCAGTGAGAAAGCAAACCCTGAAGAAAGGGACGGTGTTTACGACGTCCCTCTGCACAACCCACAGGACGCCAAGGGCGCTCGCGACGTGGTAGATGGGATCAACCGGCTGTCTTTCTCCAGCACTGGCAGCACCAGGAGTAACATGTCCACGTCTTCCACCTCCTCGAAGGAGTCCTCACTGTCGGCCTCCCCATCCCCAGACAAAAGGCTCTTCCTGGATCCGGACACAGCCATCGAGAGACTGCACAGGCTGCAGCAGGCCCTGGAGATGGGCGTGTCCGGCCTCATGGCACTCGTCACCACAGACTGGCGGTGCTACAAATACATGGAAAGACACATCAACCAGATCCGCACCTCGGCGGACAAGGTGGAGCTGTTCCTGCGGGAGTACCTCCATTTCGCCAAGGGAGCGGTAGCAAACGCTGCCTGCCTCCCGGAGCTGGTCCTCCACAACAAAATGAAGCGGGAGCTCCAGAGAGTGGAAGACTCCCACCAGATCCTAAGTCAGACCAGCCATGACTTAAACGAGTGCAGCTGGTCCCTCAATATCTTGGCCATCAACAAGCCCCAAAACAAGTGTGATGACCTGGACCGGTTTGTGATGGTGGCAAAGACGGTGCCCGATGACGCCAAGCAGCTCACCACCACCATCAACACCAATGCAGAGGCCCTCTTCAGACTGGGCCCCAGCAGCCTGCATCTGAAGAATGGGGCCGAAAGCATCATGAACTCAGCAGAGTATCCACACGGTGGCTCCCCCATGCAGCTGCTGCGTCCCGGGGACCACAAGGCTCAGGCCCATCACAAGCCATTGCCCCCAAGCCTCAGCAAGGAGCAGGCCCCTGACTGCAGCAGCAGTGATGGTTCTGAAAGGAGCTGGATGGATGATTACGATTATGTCCACCTACAGGTAAAGCAATAAAACACCTACACGCACATGCAGGGATCTGGAACAGATGTCTATGTGGCTGTCGGGCTGGGCTACCAGAGTGGGGGACACAATTAGGGTTGATCCACGTGGTTCACAAATTGGAGGTAATAATGTACAGTGAGAAGAATGCCAGGCTAAAGGGCCTGAGTCCTTGGCTCTAGACATTTTCCCACCGCTTATTGTGTGACTGACTTATTTAAGCTTCCTGGGCCTTAATTTCCTCATTTGCAAAATGAATGGTGCACAGGTTGCATTAGATCCCATTGATATGGCCCAGGGCAGCAGGAGGCTCACCAAGGAGGAGAGTGAGCCCTCTAATAGTAATACCAGCTCCACTTTTATTTGTATTGTATGATATAGTTTCATGTGATATTTTATTTGGGAAAAAATGGCTTTACTATTAAAAAAAAATTGAAAACTTCTGCACTAGAGAAGTTCTACGGTCCCTTCTAGCTCTATAGTATGTGTGCGTGTGTGTGTGTGTGTGTGTGTGTGTATAATTGCTAACACACTTAGCCCCATCTCAGACTTACCTAGAGGATTACTGGGTATTTGACAAGTGGCCTAGACTAGAGCTTAATTTGTATGTGGGACATTGGGCAATCACAGTCAACCTCCTACAAGTGGGAATTCTTCCAAATTCCAAGCTGACCTGGGACTCTAAAAGTTTGCCTTTCCACTTTGAGGGATTAAAACCCTCTACCAAGATCCATTATTTAGAATTGAGCTTGTTATCTTATTCTGCCATTATTTTAATTTGGTTGAAAGCCATGGATTTACTGAAATACTGGGAAATACTAATTTGGAGTAGAAAGCTGTAGATGAGTTGAGGAAACTAGGAGTGAAATATGGATCACATTTAGACTTGCGTTGGAGGCTTATGAGTTCACATATGATCTGTTAGGAAAGAACCTTGAGAAATATTACTTCCTAAGGAGGTTTGAAGGAGATTGTGAATAACTCTCTGAAAATGGTAGTGGAGCAGAGAGCATGGAAAACGGGTTTTAGTTTTTAGCCCCAACCTACACAGTGACCCCAGAAGTCTAGTAGAGAAGCACATCAGCCCTGTCTGAGGCTACAGTATCTAACTGGGCATGCACTTCATTGCCAAGGCAGTGGAAAATGAAAGAGCATTGATGTGTTTGTCAATGAAATTCTTAGCATACGTGAATCATAATGACGGTGTTACATATGTTCTTTGTGTTGAAAAACAACAGGGCAAGGAGGAGTTTGAAAGGCAACAGAAAGAGCTATTAGAAAAAGAGAATATCATCAAACAGAACAAAATGCAGCTGGAACATCATCAGGTAAGTTCAATCAGAGCCCAATAGTCGGTGTTAAAAAAGATTTCCTGCTCCGCAGGGAAGATTTAACTTCAAAAGATTATGATTTTGATCCTTCCAGCACACTGGCACAAATAAGCCCCAGCATGTATAATGGAGTATTAGAGCAAAGAGAATGGTTAGGGACTCGCTAATTTGTCTGGATTACATCTAAATGACAGGTTTTTTTTTTTAGGCTAAGCCTACATATCTAAATAAATTAGGACTATTTAGGGGAAGGCTTTTGGCCTCAAGAAAAATGACCCACTCAATATAGCGCAAGCGATCAGGTTTTATATTATAGTAACGGTGTAGTAGAGAAATGCAATGACAGAAAATGAAGATGAGCCAAGTCCGGTGAGAACCAGGACTGTAAATTCTCTCTCCTTGTACTTCCTTTGCTTCTCTCCTTGTACTTCCTTTGCTTCTCTCTGTAAATCTGCTGCGTTCTCCCCTATTTTCTGATGTTTCCCCTGCTCATCTATTACTTTGTCCCCTGTAACATTACAGCCCCATAAATGGCCACCCAAAGCCATCATCACAGCTTCCTCTGCTGATGGTCAACTCCCCTCTGTGGCTCAAGTATCGCATTCCTAAGAAAGACAATGTGATTTGGCCATCCACCCACCCCAATCTATCTATCTCTTATTTCTCTCTCAACCTTGGTCTTTCGGACAACACAAGCCTAAGGTTTTGGTGTCCTTAGTCTAATCCAAGGAGCAGTGGTGGTGGGGGGAGTTCACTGTTTTCAAAAAATACCCAAGCCCATTTGCCAAGGACCTTGGGCAGGCATGTTCATTCAGAAGTTGTATATCCGTAGGGCAGATAACAATGGGTGTTGCTAGGACAAGGGTATAAAAGTAATGAGTTGAAGGTTTACAAGCCTTTTGAAGTGAAATGGTATGTAACGAGGTGAAAAGGCATGCTGTGTTCAGGAAACCTGAGTTCAGACTCTTGCTTTATGGAGAACCAACTATGGCAAGTCAGGGAACCTCCCTGAACGTCAGTTATTTCTCTATAAAGTGGAATTCATCTGGGTGTACCTCATTACATCTAAATAGCAAGATTTTTGATGCTAAGCCTGCATATCTAACGTATCAGGACTATTTAGGGTAAGGCTTTTGGTCTCAAGAAATGAGACCCACTCAAGCTAGTCCAAGCAACCAGGTTTTATAGTATAGCCATAACCGGGGATTTCAAAAACAGAATAGGGGCTCAACGCCAGTGGCTCAAGTGGCTAAGGTGCCAGCCACATACACCTAAGGTGGCAGGTTCTAATCCAGCCTGGGCCCGCCAAACAACAATGACGGCTGCAACCAAAAAATAGCCAGGCATTGTAGTGGGCACCTGTGGTCTCAGTTACTTGGGAGGCTGAGGCAGGAGACTTGCTTGAGCCCAGGAGTTGGAGGTTGCTGTGAGCTGTGATGCCATGGCACTCTACCCAGGGGGACAGCTTGAGTCTCTGTCTCAAAAAAAAAAAAAAAAAAAAAAAGAAGAAAATGAAGATATAGCTGGGTCTGGTGAGAACTAGGATTGTAAGGATGTTCTATGGTTTAATAAGATGATATACGGATGAACATGTAATATTTGCAAAAGAATAAGCTACATGAAATATAATTCATTATTATTAAATACCTTGGAACACTACCATTGTTTATGTTTGCCTTAGTATTTGGCCAAGTAGGACTACAGAGCTGTAGGAAACTTGTTGAAGCCATAGTAATTTCTAAGAAGGAAGCAATTCCATAGAAAAGTAAAGCTGGCTGTGCATTTCTCAAGAGGAGAAGCAGGGTGAGGTTATCCCTACTCTGACTGATCCCTGCTTCAAGGTGGGAGATTAATAAATCCTAAGCTCAGGCCACGGACAGTTCTTACCTGCAAAAAAAGAGGTCTCTCCTGAGTCTTAGTGAAATAGCTAGAAATTATGATAATTGCAATTTAAATAATACACCAGTTGGGAACAATGAAGAAAGAAAGTTAACATTCAATGACTCTAATTCTAGCTGAGGCCTTTTTCTTTTTCACAGCTCTGAGAGATAAATATTATGATGCATTCACATTTCTTTAGAAATATTCTTTTTCATGAGTGCACACATATTTATATGCATTATTCTTCCTGGTAGTACTGGATTAGAGCGTATCTATAAATCTTGACAGAAAAAGTAGGAGAAATAGAAAAGGGTCCTGAGTTGTCATTTCATATGAGCATCCTGAGACAGTCAAGACTGACCCCAAGAAGCAGCAAACTGTCAATGACTTCCTTGCCAAAGAGGTCACTACATTGATTTTTCTCTTGCCAGCTCTCAACATTTAATAAATATTTGCAAAGGGCCTACAATGTATGAAACACTATTATTCTAAGGAATTTGTAAGTTATTAACTCTTTTATCCTTCATAAAGATGTAGGTAACAGGGCTGTCATTTAAACTCCATGCTGCCAGCTGAGTGTGGTGGCTGGAGGATTCCTTAGGGACCATCTTTCCCAACATGCACATTTAATAATTTAGTAAAGCAAGGCAACTTGGCCAAGACCTCACAGCTAATAAGCATCTGACATTTACTAGGAATTAAAATCCCTGTCTTTTAACTCCAAACTCAAGTTAATTTCCATTACGACACACTCTTTTGCCCTAATGAAATCTACTTTTTTCTCCCTTGCAGCTAAGTCAGTTCCAGCTGCTGGAACAAGAAATCACAAAGCCAGTGGAGAACGACATCTCCAAGTGGAAGCCCTCTCAGAACCTCCCAACCACAAACAGCAGCGTGGGCGCCCAGGATCGGCAGCTGCTTTGCTTCTACTATGACCAATGTGAGACTCATTTCATCTCCCTTCTCAACGCCATTGATGCTCTCTTCAGTTGTGTCAGCTCGGCTCAGCCCCCTCGGATCTTTGTGGCACACAGTAAGTTTGTCATCCTTAGTGCACACAAACTGGTGTTCATTGGAGACACGCTGACAAGGCAGGTGTCTGCCCAGGACATTCGCAACAAAGTGATGAACTCCAGCAATCAGCTTTGTGAACAGCTCAAGACTATAGTCATGGCAACCAAGATGGCTGCCCTCCATTACCCCAGCACTACTGCCCTGCAGGAGATGGTGCACCAGGTAACAGACTTATCTAGAAATGCTCAGCTCTTCAAGCGCTCTTTGCTGGAGATGGCCACGTTTTGAGAAGAAAAAGGAGGAAGAGGGGACTGAGTTGATAGTTACCAAGGAAAACTGGAAATATTATCTGGTTTTTGTACATATTATCTATTTTGTAGATATTTTATATGAAAATGAAATATTTTAACATTTTTTATGGGTTAGACAACTTTCAGAAATTCAGGGAGCTGGAGAAGGAAATCTTTTTCTTTTCCCTGTGTGGTTCTTATGTATACATATAAGTATCTAAGACATCAACTGTACAAAAACTTGTCCAAGTGCTTGTGTTTACCTGGGTATTTGTGTTTGTCTGTAGATGTTTGTCTGATACATTCCATTTTTAAAACATGAATTAAGAAGCACCTTAGTAAGAACCTCCAAATGCTGCATTTTTTTTTCTAGAAAATATCCCAGCTGGTTTTAATATTGCTTTACATGTCTTAGTGATGATTCTGAGCCTGGCACTCCTAAATCTGGGAAGCAAAGTATATTTGTAGGTGATTGCCTCCCAAACCATGAGGCATAGTATGGCTTATTCTTGTTATAAAACCCTTTTTTCAAAATTGACCATCTTGAATGCACTGTGGCAAAAAAAATGCCCACTTCCCACTGAAAAAGCCCTCTTGAAGAGCAAGTTTCAGAAAGCAAGCTCTGATATTTCAGGTTCTGGAAAGAGGAAAGACCTGCATGTTTAGAGGCCATGTCCACAGTTAGGAATGGGTTATTTCAACACTGGGGGAGGAAGCTACAATAAAAGAAAATTACTTGTTTCCCTGGAGCTATTTGATCTGCATTTGTGAATGATTCAGCTATGAGGTTTTCCAAAGGATGTTTGTAGAGTCGTGACAACTACATTATTTGCAGCAGGAATTCACAAAGACACATCAGACAATGATGATCCACAAATGAGAAGGGATGGTTCCATCTGCAAGTTGTAGGTTAGAGATGATTTTGCCTCTTTAGTATCCACTTAGGTGCTACTACCCCCATTACCTGAGGGAAACAGGCCAGTTCCTTGTCATTGAACTTTAGAGCCAATAGGCCATAGCCTGCTCTCTAAGAAAACTTATTGCTTGGTCTTGAACCCTCTGTAAGACTCATATGTAGACTCAACACTCAAAACAGCTATAAAGAGTCCATCTACTTTCTACAACTTCATGTGGCCACTGACCTTGTGTATAAGGTCAAAGGAGCTATGTATTCCATAGTCTGTCTCTTTACACCTGCTTGTGTTGACAAAGCACAGACACCACAGCCATTAGATTCGTCACAGGGCAAATGAAATACTTCTTACGCAGCAGGTAAATGTATTCACACATTACCAAGTCAAAAAGCATGTTATCTATGATCTTTCAGTCCAGTTCTTATTTAATGGTTTTATTCTAGCCTCTTTGGAAACATGTTTTTATTTGCAAACTATGCCTTGACTGAATTAAGCTTACTTGTTTTGAACATCCAAATCACTGGAACAGGAAAAGATTTAAGAAAGAAGAATGTATGAGCTCAGTGTGATTAAAAGCAACAGTGGAAGTAAAATATCATAGAAGGTGCTTTTCAAAACAACTGCTATTATAATTCTCAAAGTTCTACTCTGCCAAAAGAAGATGAAAAGTCATATGGAGAAAAGGGGTTGCTGAAAATCAACAACACTTGAAGAAGTTAAAAAGTTTGTCCTTAGAGATTTTATTGTATAATGTGTATTCCTTAGGAGATGGCGGACTTGATCTAAGCTACATGATGGCATTTCACATTTTAAAACCAAAATGTTCAATCTGTATTATTCTCTTTGCCATCTTTTATGTAGAAGCTATTTTTAAATCATTAAATTTTTAGATCTCTGTTTTCATAGTCACTGGGTTTCTCTTTGCCACGGAATTAAATATTGGCTTATTTTAGAACTCCTAATTTAGACAGTTAATCATGATTATTATCAATGCTATAGCTCTGTAATTTTTTTTAAGGAAAACTGAGGAGGTTTTGTGTATGTGTGTTACTTCTGATTGTACCACATATTTGCATTTAAAGTGGAATCTGTGGACATTCTCAAATTCAAATGTCTGGAATAAGGTTTGTCTTCACCTATACATTCAAGATGGGTAAGATGATTTCTGTTTCCATAATATGGATGTTACTATTCCTGTGGTTTTAGAATCAAAGGAAATTTCCCTACTTAATCTGGAGTAGACATAAAGAAATAATTAAAAGTAAACTGCATTTGATAAAATTAAGAGATTCCTAATCAGATAAATTATGATTTTTAATGCTTGACTCACTCTGTCATTCTCAGAGATTTATAGAGTATGTATAAATTTGTGATATTTATAAATTTATAAATTTAGTGATATTAATGTACCATTTTAATCAAATTAATACATACGCACATTAATAGGTTTTTGACAAAAATGTCAAGACTTCAATGGGGGAATGGAAAGTCTAATGCAAAAATGATGCTAGAAAAACTAGATCTCTCTATGCAAAAAATAAATACTTAACCTTACATCCTAAAAATTAAAATTTGGGTCTATGATTCACAAATGAACCTAAAAGTAAAACTTAAAACTCTAAAACGTCTAGAAGAAAATCTAAGAGAAAATCTTTGTGCTCTTTGGTAGACAAAGTTCCATAGATAGAATACCAAAAAAAGCATCTCATAAGAGAAGAAAATGGACTATGTCAAAATTAAAAACCTTTACTCTTCTAAGGAGACCATTAAGAAAACCATAAGTCAAGCCAGAGACTGGGAGAAAACATTTGCACCATATACATATATTAGCTAAGAACTTGTATATATCAGAATTAAGAGATAAATAATTACATTTTTTAACTGGGCAAAAATTTTGAGAAGACATTCCACAAAAGAAGACATATATACATAGGTATCAATGGTGTGAAGGAAAGAAACACCACATCAAATAAATCATTAAAATTAAAAAGACCAACCATACCAAGTGCTGGCACAAGAAAGGGGAGTAAATAAAGCTCTCATACACTGCTGGTAAGAATGTTAAATGGTACACCTGGGAAAATAAATTGATAGTTTCCTAAAAAGTTAAATTTGTGCCTACCATATGACCTAGCAATTCCTCTCCTATGTATTTCTCTAAGAGAAATTAAAGCGTATGTTCATACAACGCCTTCTACGTATAAGAATATTTATAGCAGGTCTACTAACAATAGCAAAAGCTAGAAACAATCCAAATAGTCATCTATGTGAATGAAGAAAACTATTGTGCATATCTACGCGATGGAATACTACACAGAAATAAAAAGGAAAAACACGGAAGCAAAAGCCCAGCATGAATTAATTTTAAAAGTATAAAAATCATTATGATATGAAAAAGAAATCAGACATAGTACATATGATGTGTTTCCATTTATACAAAATTTTAGAAAATACAAACTATAACAACAGAAAGCAATTCGGTGGTTGCCTAGGGAGAAAAATGGGGGGAGAAATGAACTCCAAAAGAACCCAGGGAAACTCGGGAATGAAGGAATTGCCCATTTTCTCAACTATGGTGATGGTTTCACAGGTGTATGCATGCAAAACTCATCAAGTTATACACTTTAAATGTGTACAGTCTATTTGTCATCAATTTTTTAAAACAAATGGTCTAGACACTCAGAGTAAAAGTCAGAGATTCTGAGACTAGAGTTTTAAAAGCAAGACGAAACTGTGCACTATTTAAAAGTCACGGCCAGGCGTGGAGCCTTACACCTGTAATCCTAGCACTTTGGGAGGCCAAGGCAAGAAGATCACTTAAGGCTAGGAGTTCAAGACCAGCCTGAACAAGAGGGAGACCTTGGGTCTCACAGAAAAATTAGCCAGGCATAATGGCCTAAGCTTGTAGTCCCAGCTACTTGGAAGGCTGAGGTAGGAGGACTGCCTGAGCCCAGGAGTTTGAGATTGCAGTTTGCTATCCTGGGCAACAGACTAAAAGCCTGTCTCAAAAAATAAATACATAAAAAAAAAACAACAACAAAAAACCACTCAAGACATGTACCGTGCATATTCTAATTTTAAAAAAAATGGAGGAACTATATAGTTAATAGACAAAGCAGAATTCAGAACAAGGGCAAAGAGGAACATTTAAAAATACTGTACGCACCATCACAAAGTCTCAAAGTACAGGAAGCAGAACCTGACAACTGAGAGGAAAATAGAAAATCTGTAAGGCTAGGAGGAGATTACCACATTCCTCTTTTAATAATTAATAAAACAAGAAAACAAAAAATAACCAGTAACAATTGTTAAGAATGGAATTCTCCCACATTGCTGGTAGGAAAGGAAATTGATAGCATCATTTCAAGAAAGTAATTTGGCAATCTCCAATAAAGTTAAACATACACTTTTTACATAACCCAGCAATTCCAGTCATGGGTATTTACCAAAGAAAAATAAAAACAAACATATCTATGTAAAAAGCTAATTGCTTTATTCAAAATTGTACCATCTAGGAACAACCCAAACGTCATCCACAGGTGAGTGGATAAATGAATTATGCTCTATTCTCACAACAAAATACTATTTGGCGATCAAAAGGATTAAACAAATTGTACACGTAACAATATGAGTGAATAAATCTCTGAAACATTAAGCCAAGCACATAAAGAATATTTATGTCTGAAGCTCCAGAAGACACAAATCTAATTTGCAGTGACAAAAATCAGATCTATGATTTCCTAAGGCCAAGGGTTAGTGATTATCCGGGAAGGAGCATAAAGGAACTTTTCGGTGTAATGGATCTGTTTCACATCAGTGCTGTCCAAGATGCAAAACTTTCTGCACAGGGGAAAATATCTTATAATTGGCACAGTCTAATATGGTGGACAATAGTCTCTTATGTGGCTACTGAGCATTTGAAAAGTGACTAGTACAATTGGGAAACTGTTTTTCATTTTAGTCTATTTTAGTACATTTGAAATTAAATAGCCATATGTGAGTTGTGGCTACTATAATGGACAGCACAGTATCTATATCTTGATTGTTATAGTAATTATGTGAACAGATAAATTTGTCAAAACTTAATATATGCTAACAGTGGGTGCATTTTACTGTATAGAAGCCTACCTGAATAGAGTTGATTTTAAAAAGAGGTAAAGCATTTCTCAAGTAACCCTTAGTTAAAAAAAAAAAAAATGAAATAAACCCTTTCATTTTTTTTCAAGCCAATATTATCATCAATTCACACAAACATTGGTGGGTCCATAGAAAAAGATCAAGTTATAATGAGCCGGAAACATGGAATAAGATAATATTAACTCATGAGCAATCAGAATAATTCAATTAACATCAGTAGGCATAATGTTGCCTGGAACCCTGTTGTGATAAATAAAAATAAAAGCGCTTTGGTTAAAAAAAAAAAA